AGAGGAGGAAAGATAATTAGGGGGAAGGTGGTGGTAACACAGAAGTGGTAGAGAACTAGTGAAGATCTCTGAAGATGGATAAAAAGACAGGTACCATCTGTTGCTGCTGCTGTTGCTAACAGTGGCTGCTCTCAGAGTGTCAGGCAAGTTGTCAGGCACCAAGCACTTTATACATACAATCTCATTTCATTCTTCCAAGAACTCAATGAACTAGGCACTGTAATTATCCTGCACTAAGAGAATAAAGCAATCCTAAATATTTGTGCACCACTTAATAACAAACTTTAGAATACACTAAAAATTAGAGACCTAACAGGAGAAAGATATGCATTTACAAATATAGTCAGAGATTTCAACACCCCTTTCTCAATAATTGACAGTAGACAAAAAAATCATCAAGGATATAAAAGACTTAAAGAATATCAACCAACTTGATCTAAATGACATTTATAGAGCACTCCACCCAACAACAGAATACATGTTCTTTTCAAATGAACACAGAAAATGACTAAGGATAGATCATATTCTGGGGGAATAAAACAAATCTCAATAAATGTAAAATAATTAAAATTATACATAAGTTGGTATCTGGCTACAATGGAATTAAACTAGAAAACAATAACAGAAAGATATTTGGAAAACCTCTACATATTTAAAACTATTAAAATAAAATAAAGGTAGACTTTTTTTAAATAACCCATGGATCACAAAAGATATCAAAAGTAAAATTTAAAATCATTTTGAACAAAAGGAGAGTGAAAATACAATATACTAAAACTTATGAAATGTAGCTAAACCAATATTTTTATTTTATTTTTTTTCATTAATCATCACCCAAGGATATTTTCCCATTGATTTTTAGAGAGAGTGGAAGGGGTGGGGGGAGACAGAGAAAGAGAAAGATCAATGTGAGAGAGACACATCAATTGGTTTCCTCCCAACCGGGCCCTGACTGGGGCCAGGATAGAGCCAGCAACTAAAGTACATACCCTTGACTGAAATTGAACCCAGGACCCTTCAGTTCTACCCACTGAGCAAACTGGCTAGGGGCTAAAGCAGTATTGAAAGGGAGATAAATAGTACTAAATGTCTGGACTAGAAAAGAAGTTCTCAAATAAATGACCTCAAGAATCTATAAAAAAGAAGAGCAAATTAAACCCTAAGTAAGCAGACCATAGGAAGTAATAAAGATCAGAACATAAATCAATGAAATAGGAAAAAAAAAACAATAAAAAGGTCAATGAAAGGAAAAGCTGGTTCTTTAAGGAAATCAATAAAAATTATAAATTCCAATAAGACTGATCAGAAGAAAAATGCAAAA